CTCGAGCTTCGGGCGCGATCGCACACGTACACGATCTGAGGTTGTGTGCGCATCCCTTCCATGCTACCGCATGCTACCAAGTGTTCAGAATCTGGCATCTCTGCTACTATATCCAAAGAGAAAAAAACTGACAACAGCTAGAGCAACACGAAAATTGTAACAGCAGAGAGAAGACTGAGAGCGGCCAGGCCCATAAGAGAATGGGTGCGTTCAGACAACTCAACAGTTGCACAACGGTTGAGAGATAATCACTTCTGATTGGATCATACTTTTGGAACCGCTTCAGATTTTGAAGAATAGTCCTATCATAAGTGATGATCTCTCTCACCGTTGAGTTGTCTGAACGCACCCTATAACGTACGTACCAAAGTTGCGTGAAACGGAACGCAGCCCAAGTCGTTCGTGAACGCGGCTGCACCAAAAACTAAAGACGAAGTGCGGCCGCGACAAGTTTTTTACATTAAATATTTTTTATTTTGAAACATTCCACATGAAGTTTTGACATTTCACACAAATCGAAATCTATATGTATGATTCGACATAGTTTAAGAATTTCCACGCAAGGCGAAGTCATTTCTTACATCAATGAGTGCTTTATATAAAAAGTGCAGTTGGTCATACAATATTTGAAACTTTTTATTGATTTAGAATATTTTCTATTTTACAAACTATAAACAACTTACAAAGTTTTATATATATTTTATATATTTTTGTAACCATGTATAAAAGATTTTACTTGGCGTAACTTATTGATATCATTTCTTTTGTAGAATAGATCTTGTAGAAGAAGATTTTGGTAGCAATACTTTTTCTAGAGATACGAGTTGCACATGTACTTGGCGTCTTTTTTTACCTTTTTTTGAAAAGGTATTTTGTTCGGATATGGCTTCACGCCCCTGCGAGAAAGGAGCAAACGCCAGTCTATCGATATACATTCTCAGAACGAATGTGGGGGGGGGGATGTGCAGCAGTTTTTTTTTACCTACTACCACGCGATACACGGCCGTCTTTCACAGTGGGCGTGCCCATCTATGTCGGGGGCTCGTGCTCAAGATGTTATGACTACGATCGCCTTGTGGGAGGGAAATTAATTCGGGATTACACTCGAATTAATTTTTGGAGACCCGATTCAGTTCGCCAATCAACCGATAAAACTCGGTTGAAAGGGACCGGCCCGGAAAAAATCCTTAGGTGGTTGGAGCGGATTCGAACTCGGGACCTCCAAGTTCGCAGCCCCTGCACTCAGGCCGCGAGACCACTGGGCCGGTCCACGATAGACGGAATAGCGATAGCGATAAAAATAACAAAAGTTTTAAAGAGTTTATATTTAAAAATAAAGGTAGGAACAGCGGAATCTAACATACAAAACTACACGTGTATCAATGCAGATCAGAAAATCGGAATAAGCAATAGCGATAAAATTTCCGACGAGTTGGAATTCTGTGTTAAAAACTGTGTTATTTCTAATCGCTATCGCTATTCCTTCCATTGTGCAAGGGGCTTTACAATTCTCTCCGCTCTGGTTCTGTTGAATGCAGCCACTGTGTGTGACACAAGCTGCATTCCATTCTTCAACGATTCTTCTTCGCTCGTGACTCGTGAGCGTTACCTATCTTTGTTTCATTTTTGATGAAAAACATGGAAAAATGATTGCGTAAGGGTCTCCGCACAAACTCTTTCTCAACGCGTTACACGTTACGTTAAAGTTGGCTATGAACTTAAATTTGTACGTAAACTTGAACGTCATTCAACGCACAAACTAATATTTAAATAATAATGAATTAAATATTAAATTATTATTTAAAAATTCTTGAAGCTCTATATATAATCATCATTACATACTAATATTTAAACGTAACGTAACGTTAATTACTAGTCATAAACTTAAATTTGTATGTAAACTTGAACTTTATTTCAACGCACAAACTAGTACTTAACGTAACGTAACGCGTTAAGAAAGAGTTTGTGCGGAAGGCCCTAAAAGCATTGCGATTGTTAAGTGAAACGCAGCCAGTAATGTGAGAAAGCACCAGTGTCTCACTTACAGCCAATTTTTTCACTAGATAAGTTTTCGATAACTTTATCTAGAAGATATCTCCCAAAAATGGTTCTCCTTATTCTCAGAGGAATTTATCCAGAGGATAGCTATCGAGAGGTATGAAGAAATTGGCCGTACACTAGTGGATACTGTGTACAGAGGGGTGCACCATATCGTTCCGCTCCAAGAGAAGTTGTTCTCTGAAATTTTTCTTCTGGCTGCTTCTACTACCGCGCGCCGTACTCTTTCGATCTCCGCCAGCGGCCCGAGATTGAAGGAAAACGACACGCGACAGTAGGAACAGCCGGAAGAGAAATTTCCGAGAAATACTTCCCCTGGAGCGGAACGGATATGGTGCACTCCTCTGTACAGTCTCTGGGTGCTTTCCAACTACGTACACAGGCGACACACTGTGTAACACAGTGTCCATTAGTGTGAGAAAGAGCATATCAGTTGTGTCTCACTCACACTAGTGGACACAGTGTCGCCTGTGTACGTAGTTGGAAAGCACCCTCCTGTCTGTTACGTAGCTGGAAAGCATCCTAATATGTGTACCTATCTTCGACGAAGATTGATGCGTTATCACGATTTGTACTAGATACTACAATAATGCAATTCAAGCGTGGCAAAATCTATTTGTGAAAAAAAAAAAAAAAAAAATTTCTAATCTAGTTCCAAGTTTCTATAAATATCGAAGTGCTCTGTAGATATGAAATATCTGGCCTGCAGCATCCACTAGATTTGACAAAGCCACAGAAAAAAAACCACAGGAAAAAATGTATAAAATTACTTACGTGTCCTTACGATAGACACGATGTATTTTATATTTTACATTTTATTGCAACTTATCAAATGTTACGACCTAGAGTATATCCTTCGTCATGAGCAAATTGTTGGCCCTGAAAAGGGCCGTTTTTTGTAACTGATTTGACTGGTAGTTAAGCTTTCTTCTCGGTCTTCTTCGGCAATAGGACCGCCTGAATATTAGGCAGCACACCACCTTGAGCTATGGTCACTCCGGAAAGCAGTTTGTTCAATTCCTCGTCATTGCGGATGGCAAGTTGCAAGTGTCTCGGAATAATTCTGGTTTTCTTGTTGTCACGCGCAGCATTGCCCGCCAACTCCAACACTTCCGCGGCTAGATATTCCATTACCGCGGCCAGATAAACCGGAGCACCGGCACCAACGCGCTCGGCGTAATTTCCTTTTCGCAGAAGCCGGTGAATACGTCCAACAGGAAACTGCAGACCAGCGCGATTCGATCGGGACTTTGCCTTTCCCTTTGCTTTACCGCCTTTACCGCGTCCAGACATGTCGTACGATGGATGTAGCGAACTTTCGAAGAGATCCGAAGCGAACAACGACTCGATTCGTTTTGACGTGCTCGGTCGCTCGTCAGCGTTATATAGCGTACCGCGATGCTCGAGCCGACCAATGGCGTGCGCGCATCACTCAACCGGCTCAGCGCGGCTCGCGATTGGTGCGCTCGTACTGTCGCGTTGCCATATATAAGAGCTTGAGGTGGCGTGCGAAAATTTTTATACCTCAGAGAATTGTAAAACGTGTCACTGTGTTTCGCATAATATAGATGTATAACACTTATTACTTAAATTTTAGTATATTATATTGAAAATAAATAAAATTTCGTATAATACATTGTAACGATATGTTTTATCATTAAATGTGAAACTCAACACAAAAAATTTTACATGAATACGTATTTCGAAAATTTTTAGAGACAAATGTTTATGATCACGCTCATCACGTGTATCTTATTTTATTTACAAAATACTTCATATTCGAAGAACGTGTTTGCATAGTGTTTTTATTAGGTGTGTTTGAGAGACAGGTTCATCTTTAAAATTTATTTGTAACAAACGAATATAAGATACAATATCGATAGTTTTTTATATTTGCTTATTTGCTGAAATTCATATTTTATTGAAATAAACAATATTTATATCTGTTGAAATTGTGGTTATACTGTTTTACAGACGGGTGTTACATTTTTTATGCGCTATATATTTTTCAATATATACATATTATCTGTGTGTATAATAGAAATATTTAATCTGTATACAATTGAGATATAAAATGTCCAATCTCTCCGATAATATTGTTTGGGTTGATATGGAGGTATATATATCGCTGTCGCACAAAAATTTAACTTTTGATAAAATTTATATAAACTGTGAATACACACACATATGAATGATCAAATAAACAATAATACATTCTTACAGATGAGCGGACTTGACATAGAAACAGATCATATATTAGAAATTGCTTGTGTTGTAACAGACAAGACATTAAAAATCATTAGCGAGGAATTGCATATCGTGTTACATCAATCAGATACGGTATTAAATAATATGAACGAATGGTGTAAGAGACATCATCATACGGTAAGACTCTTATTTCTTACGTGTGCAATAATATAAATATTCTCTTCTGAATTTTTACAAAAATGCTGTATATAAGTTTATATGGATTTTAGTCTGGATTGACAAGCGATTCTCGCTCAAGTAGAACATCTTTAAAAGATGCCGAACAATCGGTACTTGCCTTTTTACAAAAATATATTCCCAGTAACGCATGCCCCCTGGCAGGAAACTCAGTCTATATGGATCGCTTATTTTTATATAAATATATGCCGTTAGTCAATGATTATTTACACTACAGAATAATCGATGTTAGTTCAATCAAGGAACTTGTCAGGTATGAGACTGAATTATCTTGTGTCTTTGCACGAATACTTTTTTTGTATGTGTGTTAATTATTCCTCTCTTTAGTATATATAAGTGAAATTAATAGCAATCCATATAACATTTGACTAACGTATAAGATGTTAATAACAAGATTATACAAATGTGCTTACGATGTTTAGGAGATGGAATCCAAATGTATACAAAAATGCACCACGCAAAGTATTATGCCACAGAGCTTTAGATGATGTAAAAGAAAGCATCAAGGAATTAGCGTATTATCAGAAACATATATTTGGGCTGTAATCGCACAGATCGAGAGAAATTTTGCAATTAGATTTGATATAAATTTGTCTAAAAATCATAAATAAATGTGTAAATATAATTGGAGCAGAAAGTTTTAGTTTTTTTTCTATTTGTTAGTATCAAAAACATAATAAATAGACATTTTGCTTTTTCAAAAAAAGAAAAACTAAAATTTATGTAAAGACAATAATTTTATTAAAGACATGATACAAAATTCGATATTAAATATATTATATATACATACATACATATATATATATATATATACACACACACATATACATATATATGTAATCACATAAAAGCGCGAATTCTAGAACGCTAGACAATTTATAGTTTTCTTTTATGGTGTGGATGTAAACGAAAGATTCATCGGTGACAACTGACTTCCAGGTGTCGCGTCAAGCTGTGTTCTTTGTTCAATTACAGGATCTGTTTCGTTCATATCATCCACCTGGGATAATTAAAAGAAATAAATTAATAATTCTGTGTCAACACTAAATTGAATCTCTTGCTTCATTTTGTTAATGTTCGTACTAATAATATGTTTTTTTTTGCTCACCATCATGGTATCTTCTACTTTAGTTTTTTTTTCAGCAATTGTTCTTAACAATGCTTTAGCCTCTTCTTTTATTTCGTCGAAATCAATACATTTTTGCGCATAGTGATTAGCTCGATCCAATTCTTCTCTTTTTAAATGATACTGCGTAAGATACTTGTATGCATGGCTCAGCTCCGTTGACTCAACTCTTCTGTCGATGCCTCGGTATTCATCCGTTACGAAATCTTTATAAGCCGCCGCCGCGTTATCGTGTTCCCCTAATTTCTCATATAGTCTGCAACAAGAAACACTTAATAAAATATACATATCAAGACTTTCTGATGCAATCATTGGCATTTTTCATACATACGTCGCTAACTTTAAAAGTGCCATTCCTTCTATATCGCCTACATTGCACGCTTTGTAATAACATTTGAGCGCATCTTGAATTTTATCTTGCTTTTCGTACGCTTCACCTAAAGCCAGAACCATCCTGCTGTCGTGAGGTCTCAAGAGTTGTGCTTGTTTGTAATAATAAAGTCCGTAAAATGGCATTTTTAAAATCTCGTACGTCTGACCCAAGCCGTACCACGCTCTATAATCTCGTCTATTTACCTCTATCAGAGTTTACAAATGTCATTATGAATGTTTACACGGTAAACGATCGAACAAATTTTATATATCTATACCTATTGCCTGTCTATAGCTGTGGATAGCGCCATTGGTATTTTTCATTTCCATAAATTCATGACCCAACAGTGTCCAAGCTGATAGATATTGCGGATTTATCTTCAAAGCTCTGTGAAAATACATCACCGCTTTCTGATGATCAGCTCTCAAACTGTAATAATTTCCTAAAATAGAAATGTTTCGGAATATAAATTTGTATTTTACGTACAAATGTATTTATAAAACAAAAATGTTTTACAAAGAAATTGCAAACAAACTCTCACCTACTATACAACAAGTTTCCAGTCTATATTTATCTATTTCGGTGGCTCTGTGCGCCAGATACGCCAACTCGACCTTCATTTCTCTCACATAAAGCAAATTTGAAAATGTGTCCATGTTGTCGAGACAATAAGGATCTTCTTTTATTATCGTTTTGAAGATTTGTAATGCGTTTTCAACATCTAAAATAAAATAAAAAACATGTGAAATCAAGAGAAAAAAAGTTAGATGTCAGTTGTAAATCTGACCAGTTCTTAGTAAAACAAACAAGTTTGCATCGAAAACAATTCGCACTCTCGTTAACTCACGTCTTCTGTAATGCACCGCAATTGCAGTTTGAGCTTGTACATAAGGACTTGATCGAAAGCCAAAGCCTTGCAATTGAGCGTATATTTCTAAACACTCGTTAATGAGCTGTAGCTCCAAGTACATGTGAGCTGTGAAGAAATATTGCATCCAATGTTTTGGCAGACACAAACTCTCCAATTCTTCCCTATCTTTGATCAACGCGGTCAGTTCTAACCAGGCGCCCCAGTGCATTGGCTCTTTATGTACAGCCTCCATCAAAACGTCCTTTGCCTCTCTGAGAAGTTGCAACTTTTTCAATGTCACGCCAAAAAGATACAATCCGTAACCGTCTAAATTCGAGGCCAGATAATCCTTTCTCAGATCAGCGCAGAGCAATTTAAGACTGTCGTTTTTTGTAGGATCCGGCGGCACGTCCGTCATGTCGTCCAATTTCTTCTTCTCGCCTGACAAGTAACGCGAATACAAATGCAGAAACTTGACTTTCGCGGTCTTGCAGTCTCTCGTAAAGTAAGCCGCTCGATCGTACTCTTTCAGGTCGAAGTACGTCTTAGCTAAGATATAAGCGTTCGATTCCTCGAAGGTGCACGTAAAATCGTCCGCCTTTACAATTTTCACATCGCTCAAACAATAGGCCAATTCGGCCGACCTGTAAAAACATGAAGTGTCAAGTGTAAATGTATAAATTTTGCTGATAAAAAGCGAAAGATCGCATTTACCATTTAGCGCTGTGTAGCAAACCGCGCTGGGAGCATTCGTCTACCGCGCGCAAAAGATCCGTTTTAACCTCCTTGAACATGCAACATTCCAGCAGTTTCATTTCGAACACGAACGGTTCCGGTTCTTCCATTTTCGTGTGTTTCACTTGCTTTTTTCCTATTTCACGTAATTATTAAAAACAATACTCTGTTTTATATTATACATTAACGCACATCTCGGAAGTAAATATTACTGTTCAACTGACTGTATTTTTGTTATAACTTATTATCGGCACGCAGCGTCTGTTTGTAATACGAATATCGTCTGAAGCATTGCTCGGATAATCAGTGTTGCCAAGATAAAAGATTATTCGGCACACATAAAGCCTGTTATACGTCAAATCAAATTACTTACATGAATAAATGTAAACTTTATTTTTATTGAACAATAAGATACATGTCGTGTATTTTCCGTAAAATAATGTGACAATCTTATTTGACGCAAAATTACACCGATCGTTCATTCTATCACTCGGTATCTAAAAATTAAAAAGAAGAAAAGTGAATTACACACACACACAAGAGAGAAAGCATTAAGATAAAACTGTCTGAAAATGTCAATTTATCATCTAGTTTCATGGGTAACTATATATTACCATAATATTCGAAACTTACCCAGATAATCAAATGTGAAAACTCAATATATAAAGCAAATCATTGTATAGATTAAGTTGCTCGCCAATTGCTGTTGTTGTGTTGTTTTTATTTAACGCAATGAAAATGTTTTTGTCAATTCAGTATCAATATGCTGAGTTTTATTATCAATCAATTGTTGTAGCCAATGTTTAGGACATATGAGTCAGCAATATGTGAGCAATATATGAGCAATAATTTTTATTCATAAGTTGAGAAAAATAATATAAGTTTATTGCCGATGAGTTGTTGAGAACTTGCTGTTATTATTATATTTGGAAAATTGTTGTTGGCAAGAACATACTGAAAAGAGGATACACCCTTTTGTTACATTGCTGAAAACATATGAGTAATATTTGTGGCAAGTTGCCAACAACTTGCACTCAGTTGGCTATCTGGGTAGTTTTTAAAAAGCTAAAATTGCATGTAACATCATTGCATGTAACATCAAATCTATCATATATGATATATAAGCGAATAAACAGCAAAAGTACATTTTTTCCAGGGTGCAAATTCTCACGGTCAGTTAGGACAAGGAATGTTGTTCGAACAATGCGTCTTACCTCAAGAAGTCAATTTGTCCGGATGTTCCCTGAGATCAGAAAACATAAGGAAGATCGTTGGTGGTGCTGGCCATACGTTGATTTTGGACACAAACGGTCGTGTTTATTCTTGCGGATTGAACAACAAGGGACAAGCTGGTGTTGACGTCAAACAGAAAAATGTTTTGACATTTCAGCAGATACATTCTCTAGAACACGAGACAATAGTAGACGTGTGTTGCGGATGGGACAGTTCCGCGGCATTAACGAGAGACGGCGATCTATATGTATGGGGTTCGAATCGTTACGGCCAGTTGGGTTTGGATACCTCGGATTTTTCTCAGATATCGCATGCTCGCAGAATATTGATCGGTGAGAAAATCAAACGCGTTTCTATGGGCTTGCGACATACCGCGGTTGTAACAGAAAACGGCAGTCTTTATATTTGCGGGGCAAATAATAAAGGACAATTGGGTTTGAATGAACCAAAAGAATGTTGTGCTTGTTCAAGTAAATTTATCAAAGGTATAACAAACTTTGTCACATGTGATTTCACACGACCATAAATCTATCTTACAAATTATTTTAAAAAACCAAAAATGTTTTTAAATTATAATATAAAATAAAACATAACTAGTTCTAGAATCAAGATTGCAAGGAAATAGAGTAGAAGATGTTGCCTGTGGTCAGCATCATACTATAGTCGTAACAAGAAAACAAAAAGACATGTATGATATGTATGGTTTTGGCGATAATAAACACGGACAGTTAGAAATCTTTTCTAAAATATCTTCTGAAACGTTACAATGTGTGCAAACCAATTTTTTACTGGACGCACCAGTTCAAATCTATACAGGATGGAGTCATATAAATATTTTGAGCAGTAAGTAGACTGAATTTGCTTTGTGTTTTTCACAATGCATGTGTAATTGAATCATTCAAATTAAAATGGACTCTAAATATGATTTTAGATGGTACTGTCTTGTCATGGGGCAGAAGTGATTACGGTCAATTGGGCCGTTTCTCAAATCCACAAGTTTCTACAGAACTTCGACGCATTGATAGTACTCGAAAAATTATTCAACTTGCAGTCGGATCAGAGCATAATGTTGCCTTAGCTGGTAATTGCGAAGCGATAAATACACATCTGTCTATAAAGATCATTTATAACAAGTCGCAATTATAGATGATGGAGCGATATTGTGTTGGGGCTGGAACGAGCATGGAAACTGCGGCAACGGAAACACGGAGAACGTTTTACGACCAGAAGTTCTGTCGCTTCCATCCAATTTTGTTGGCTATCTTGTTGGTGCTGGCGCGGGACACTCGTTTGCTGTGATAAGGGAAAAAGACACAAGCTAGTCATTATTGATCAAATATTGTAATATATGTACATATATATAAGAGTATATATATAACAATAAAAAATATTTTTACAAAACATGTCGTTACATTGTTTAAATATGTTACATATTTATTTTGCGTTATGTTATTAATATTATTAACAAAAACTAAAAGATGAAATTATGTATAAAAATTTATACACACAATTTCATATTGCTAAATTTATATTGTACACACTTAACAATTCTTTTAAATACATACTTTTTTATTGTGTGTATATTTATAATATTTTTAAATAGTACGCAGGCATGTAGAAATTAAGAGTTCATAAACGACCTCCTTTACATGTATGTACGTATATGTACATATGTATAGTCAGCCTGTGAAAAGAATATAGAAAGGGCGGCGCAACTTCACCTGCGGCAATTCACCATCTGTCAGTAGGCAACTGTCATCGATCGTGTGCACAAAAAGAAAGAACGATTGTTCTTCACACATAGCTCAAAAGATAGAATATAAGAGAAGTTTATCGAATACCGCAAAGAAAAAGAAAAAGAAAAATGCTTCGAGTGCGCTCCCAGAGCAGTGTCTAGTAAGTTTATTGGCTGGAAGCGCCGGAGTTTTCTCAGTTTTATTCAAACTGCATCTAACAGATCGCAAACGAGCGAAATAAATGAATGTGTGTGTTGATTCAATTTTAGCGAACAGGAAGCGAAGTTCGTACAGGATCGCATAACCGGTGTGGAAAAACACTTCGCCGAATTATGCACGACATTCGCGGCTTACACCAGGAAAGCGGCCAGGTGACGAGAAAAGAGAGTGTTCCACCGACAAATTATCGATTATTTCTCCTTGGTTACACGCGCCAATTTTTATTTTTGTCTCAACAACATTGCGTCTTGTTGTTTGATTTGCTTTAATTGTTCTTGTTTTTTTTTTTTTTTTTTTTAGATTACGCGACAAAGGCGACGAACTTGCTAAAATAGTGCAAACGTATGCGGATTCGGAAGTTATAAATCGATCGATGAGTATCGGATTGGCAAACTTTTCCGCAACATTATCAGTTATCGGCGATTACAGGTAAACTCAGAGTTTAATTCTGTGTGTGTATTTCAATTAAAAAATTATTAATATATAATTAATATATAATTGTTATAATTTTTAAAATTTAAAATCGTTGTGCTTAATATTTTATGCTTTAGAGACGCGGAAGTACAAAGATTAGACGCCAAAGCGATCGCACCTCTTTCGCAGTACTCGACAATTTGCAAGTACGCCCGGGACGACGTGAAAAGCACATTTGCGGCGCGTGACAGAGAACTAACGAGACGTCGACACCTGGACAAAGTCCGGGAGAGAAATCCTAGAAATCGACAAATGATAGTATCCTTGAAGATTACGCGAAGATAACAATTATACAGTTTTCTAATTAAAATAATTTATTATAAATTTCAAATTCCAAAGTTTCTTTTTTTTCTTTTATATAAGCCTTTAACCAAAAGAGAATAACAGTCGCAAGCGGAATCGGAACTGATGAAAGCGTCCGTCGAAGTATCTCGACTGGTAAAAGGATTGGAGGAACAGATCGATTCGTTCGAGCGACGCAAGTTGCACGATTTAAAATCCGTACTCTTGGATTTCGTAACCGTCGAATTGAGCTTTCATACCAAAGCCCTCGAACTTCTGACCAAGGCGTATCAGGACGTCGCGGCTATTGACGAGGCCAAAGATCTTGAGGTGGGATAAACTCAACAATTCAATTTTTTTTAAGCTGAGTAACACACACATATTCGCTACACCGATATCTATATGCATATATAGTCAACATTGTTTATCCTTTAACATACAGGACTTTCAAATTGCGAGAGGAGAGATGAACGGGGTAAAATTGCTTCAAATTGATATTCGCGTGTTACAACAATCTTTTAAAATTTTAATAGCTTTATTGTGTTAAACACAAAAAATGTTATCATTTGAATTTTAAATAAGAATTATGTATGTATATATATTATACAGGAATTTAGAGAGACGATTCGCGTCCCTGATTCCGTCGCAAGATTGGACACAGTAGGTAGGACCTCGTTTCGACAGGCCTATTCGTTAACGAATTTAGCCAGTCGATTCACTTCCTCTCCCGTGGCGTCGCAAAACGTAGCTGTCAATCGAGAAATCGAATCTGCTGTGAGCACTAACGTCGAAACATAAATTTTTTCCACTGTTTCAATTTTGAATATCGATGTGATATAAATATAAATTTTCAGGATTCCGTGCGAACCAGATTCACAAACTCATCAGAATCCCTTCAAGTCGAAGAGGACAGCACAGAGGAAACCGAATCGGAATCGACTCAAGAGAAACCTGTGAGAACTAGGAATAAAACTATGTAATTTTTATTGCTAGTTTAACTTCTCTTTTTTCTCCATTTTAGAGAAAAAGACAATTCGGATACGGAGTAAAAAAACGCTTCGTTCTCAAACCCGTCCCAGCAATTCCCGCGAGTCACAAGTCCTTAATCTCATCGATAATATATCGCATACCTCCTAAAATGATGAATCGCACAAAGTAAATTCTCTCTTGTCAATATATATTATCAATATATTTTCTTTTTACAAATGTTTTATTACATTACGCTTTTTATCTCGATATTATTATTATCATAAGTACCTATCAAATGCACAAAGTTATCTTAAAATATGGATTTTTAGTTAAATAGAGTAAGAGACAGAAATAAAAATTTACATACGCTTGCTTACGCAATAAGGTCATGTAAATTGTGTTGTAGTTAATACTATGACTGTGTGTGTGAAGCTTTTTTGTTTTTAAGTAATACCAAAAATACACATTTATGTACAAAAGTGTAATTTTATTTTTTATAATGTAACAAAAAGCTGTACGTCTTACTGCTTGTATATATATATATATATACTTTGTTCATATAATAATATACATACGAGACTTGGATACTTTGGATGATGTTGTTGATTAGTGGATTATAAAGGGAGTTCAGTCTGTCGCGAAGCCGCCACCTTACTTATCACCACCTTCAACACCCGCTTGCGTCATCAAGTCAGCTATGTTTTTCTCCAAATCGTCTATTCTGTTGCCCATTTCGTCTAGTATTTCTTAATAAGGATTTTCATACGGTGTAACACAATAATATATATATAACATAATATATAATATACCCAGATAGCCAACTGAGTGCAAGTTGTTGATAACTTGCCACAAATATTACTCATATGTTTTCAGCAATGTAACAAAAGGGTGTATCCTCTTTTCAGTATGTTCTTGCCAACAATAGTTTTCAAAATTATAATAACAGCAAGTTCTCAACAACTCATCGGCAATAAACTTATATTATTTTTCTCAACTTATGAATAAAAATTATTGCTCATATATTGCTCACATATTGCTGACTCCTAAACATTGACTACAACAATTGATTGATAATAAAACTCAGCATATTGATACTGAATTGACAAAAACAATTTTCGTTGCGTTAAATAAAAACAACACAACAGCAATTGGCGAGCAACTTAATCTATACAATGATTTGCTTTATATTGAGTTTTCACATTTGGCTATCTGGGTATATATATATATATATAATGTATATATAATTGTGATTATTTGTTTTTTTAATGTGATATATAAACGACACAACTCTTGTGCAAAATTTGATTTAACTAACATGCATATATGATTTTAGAAAACAAATAAAAAGTTGTGATTCTTTTAAGGTTAAGTTTGCGAAAATAAAAAGGATATTTCTTCCTATGATTTGGTCGGACATTGTTTGAAACTTGTCCTGCATGTTCTCCAGCAACGTTTGCACCTGCAAACAAAGTCATAGTAATTGCGGTGTCAAATTGATTGTGTCGCGACGTGCATATACATACACATTGGCCTGGTATACACAAATGTAAGGAGACTACTCACGTATTGCGTCAGTTCCTGCATGTTCTTCGGGTCGGCACTGTTGCCCATCCCGTAACTGTCAACGTCCTCGCCTTTGTGATCTTGCTTGATATCAGCCATCCTCGACGGAACGTTAATTCGCCGTAAAGAGAAGAGAGGTTAAACGTCTTCTCCGATCTATATACGCGATTCTCAAAAGTAACGTTTCGTGCACGCGCGACGCGGCGTTTCCGTCCCCGACAGAGTCACCTTTCGACACGCTACCGCGTGCCGTCGTTTCTACGGCAGTCCCGTGACAGACAGAGCTAAGCACCGTTGATTGATCCAACATGCGTTTAATCTCGGCTTCTTTTTTTTTTAAAAAAAAAGATATATCAATAGTGCTCGACGTAAAAAAACGCACACGGAAAAATATTATAATTCTGTCTCTCTCTCTCTCTCTGTTTTATCTGTACTTTTTACAAAATAAATCTCTTATTTAAACATAATTTGTTTTTTTGTATAATTTGTTTCTATGATCTATTGTTGTTATATTTTTTAGACCAAGGCGCAAGAACAAATAAATAAGTAAAGACTAAAACGACAAAAGAAACGCAAACGAAGAGACATCGGATTAACAAACAAACAACATCATTGCTAGTTTAAGATACGAGCTGTTGCCTTTGTAATTCGAGAGACACTACTCGCGAATGACTCATTCATCAAACTCAAATTTATTTCGATTTAATCAGATTCTCGATTCTGATCGACGCAAAGATAATAAAAAAAAAAAACGTAATACAATTTATCTTATTTGTTGAGCAAACTTCATGTTTTTGTGGTAGCACGTTTTTTTGAATATTAATCTAACTTAGTGACGTCAGCAGTTTAGAACAACGTTTCAAATAAAATATTTTTTTCAAATGAAAAAGTGTACGACACGTAATTGCATATATGTATACAATTAACTTTGCGAACGTGAGATTTTAGCCAATAGAAAGATATTTTCGTCCTAATCCGCTACTCGGATTGGCTGCAAGCTCTCCCCCGTTTCACACTCCGTATTGTTGACTTATAATCAGCTGATTACGTCGAGCTGTTGTTGTACAACAGAGCGGAGTTTGGATGAGTCGTGAAACGTCTGTTTTTTTTTTTTCGTTTGAAAGGAAAACAAAACTTTGGGAAATTATCCAGTGAATTAATTTGTGTGTAATATCATCATCAGTGGCACGAACTTTGGAAACTAAATTTCAATACCGCGATCGCAACAAACAATGCGCTTGGCAATCAACTTAAATAAGATAATCGTTTTCTTGCTTATTGTGCAATCGGCGCAGCTTTGGCGCGTCAAACCCAAACAGATATCGCCCGTAATTTTAGGTAAAATTGTTGTTTCGATTACTAGCATTATTATACAAAGCGACTTGTTGAGATTGTTACGATTGTGAAAAGTGCGTGTATGTACAAAGTATTTAAAAAAGAAAATAATGCAGTTCCAGGTGATGGCGGCAGTCAAGTCGAAGCAAAACTTAACAAGACGTCGGTAGTGCATTACATCTGTCAAAAAATATCGAACGATTATTTCAGCCTATGGCTGAACATGGAACTGCTTGTACCTGTTGTGATAGACTGCTTTGTATGATTATTTAATTATTACATGTATTTCTTACTTTCTCTATCTTTATTTTGCTCAAAATTACATTCTTCGACTTTAATCATTGCAGATAGATAATTTGAAATTGAATTATGACAATGTGACAAGGACTACAAGCAATCAACCCGGAGTAGACTTAAAGATACCAGGATGGGGTGATCCGTTTGTAGTTGAGTATATAGATCCCAGCAGAGCTTCTCCCGGCTCATACTTCAAAGACATCGGAAATATGTTGGTAAATGATTTGGGATATATCAGGAATTTGTCACTACGTGGCGCACCTTATGATTTCAGAAAAGGACCTAGTATGTACAAAAAAAACGAGACTAACGAATATTAGTCCAGCAGTTTCGATTTTTACATTTTGCACAATGCGTATTCTATTCAATTAACAGAATAGTATATATAGGGATATATAGGAGAGATAAAGACCTTTCCAATTCTTATAGGTGAAAGCGAGGAATTCTTTGCTAAGTTGAAAGATCTTGTTGAGGAAACATACATAATGAATAACAATACACCAGTAACGTTATTAGCTCACAGCATGGGCGGACCTATGAGTCTTATAATGTTGCAACGTCAGAGTCAAAAGTGGAAGGACAAATACATAAATGCTTTTATCACGCTTAGCGCAGTATGGGCAGGATCTGTCAAAGCTATCAAAGTATTTGCCATCGGTGAGCACTTTCGTTCATTTCGCATGTAAAAAGTCATCTTTCTATATAAATTTTAACTTTATTATTTCCAATACAGGAGATGATTTAGGGGCGTATTTTCTCCGCGAGAGTATATTGAGAAATGAGCAAATAACAAGCCCGAGTTTGGGATGGCTTCTACCTTCGAGATTATTTTGGAAAGAGACAGAAATTTTGGTGCAATCAGATCAGAAAAATTACACATTAAACAATTTACAAGAATATTTTGTGTATGCTATACATTTTTATTATGTAATTTATTTTGCTTATTTTATCTGATCTGACTAATGAATATTTTTAAAAATATAATTCTTTTTCTTCGCAGAAATATTGGTGTTCCTAACGCTTGGGAGTTTAAAAAGGACAATGAAAAATATCAGTTAGACTTTACAGCACCAGGTGTTGAAGTGCACTGTTTATATGGCAGCAAAGTGGATACTGTAGAAAAGTTTGTACATTTATTTTTTTGAAATACTTATGTACTTATGTGTGCGAATGTACTGTAAAATATAAAAGACCGTTTAAAATTTATAGATTATATTATAAAGGGACCGATATAAGCGGTTATCCTCAGTTAATTTCCGGAGATGGAGACGGGACGGTTAATATAAGAAGTTTGGAGGCGTGCATGCATTGGCAGAAGTCGCAAAAACAAAAAGTTTATCATCAAGGATTTCCTGGAGTGGATCACACTGAAATTCTGAGAAATCGCGATATCTTGGCACACATTAACTCAATTTTGAAAGGGTGATAAATAAATCTGATATGACGTTTGTCAATATTAACAAGCTACGCGAAGGAACGTAACAGAACTTTAGATAATTCTGTTATCCTTGCTAAACATTAATATTCAATCTATAAAATGACAAAAGTTAATCATTTTTACATAAAACTTCCAAGATTAATTATCTGAATTTTCAATTAAATAATCAAATGTTAAATGATGTTTTTAATCAATATAATATCAAGAATTAAGATATATATAATTGAAAATATAATTTTTATTAATTTTACCAGATTTGTGTGCATCTGTTAAAATATCTCATTACACAACATTACCATCAAATATCAATTTGGACAGATTTATAAAATAATATGTAAATTTATAAAAATCACTTTTGGAAATATTATCTTTTACTTTTAACTGGCTATATGCTCACACGTATATCTCTTATAAATATAATGTATATTATCTCTCTCTTTCCTTATACACTAGTGATGCGCACATAAACATCACACGCATTTTTATACTCTTAATTGGTTGTAATATACATGTTTTACTAATTTGTGAGTTATATTAACTTGTGATCTCAACAAACAAAGAATAATTGAGTTACCATGACTAGTATAACATACATTTAGCAATAATGTATAAGAATTTTTTATATGTATGTACACACACACGCATATACAGTAGGGAGCGCCATATCGGGCGGCTCCAGGGGAAGTATTTTTCGGGAATTTCTTCTTTGACTGCTTCTACTATCGCGCGTCGTTCTCCTTCGATCTCTGCCAGCAGCCCGAGATCGAAGGAGAGCAGCGCGCAGTAACACGAGCAGCTAGAAAAAAAATTTCCGAGAAATACTTCCCCTGGAGCCGCGCGATATGATGCTTCCTACTGTACATATGTGTGTGTGTATATATATATAAATTAATACATACTAATATTTACAATGACTGATACATCACAATTAGAATACCAACAAAGACAGCACTTCAAACTTAGAAGTTATAAATCCGTTATAAACATGCCATATATTTACATTGACTCACAGTGTGCAACAAACACATGAACAATACATATATAATATAGTATATATAATATTTTAAGATCGGGAAAAACGACAAGATAAAACATTTATTACAAAGAATTATAATTTAACAAAGATACACAGTAGCTGTTTTCTCTCAGAAAAACTGTATTACGACTTCGAACATTCTTTTGATGTGTAGATATTATAAAGAGATACAGAAATATCCCAAAATATTGTATGATATTTTATATGTCTCTCCTCTGTGTGTGATCCTTGAATATAAACTTACAAAACTTACATAACTTAAGACAACGTTTCTCTACAAAATCATTTTCACGTACAAAATATAAAAAGTGATAAGATGAATACATATCGTGTAGAATTCACGAGCGATAACAATTATACCTTCTGATATAACATTTTGCGTCATAGTGATATTAAATCTAAATAAACAATACTACAAACAATACGTAATGCGGTACGCATTTAGAGAATAAAACATGTGTTACAATGTAAGTTACAACCAAAAGTTTTCATTTTCCCAAAGATAATAAATGAATATTGTTGAAAAACAAGACAATTTTATTAACTATTATATTCATTTTTTTTCAAGATTAAAATACACATAAAATTTTTCCCGACAATAACACACAACATAACATTCTGTATACACATATATATATATATATATATATTACTGAAAAAGTTTTATTTTTTTTAGCAAATCTTTGTTTGGTTTTAGCAATTATTTGAATATCTAAAATTGTTCTTCTCTTTGTTATACATCTTCAATAGACTTAATTGATTTTAAATGACGATGATTTTTAACAAAAGAAAATACGCGTAAGTTTTTTTATACGCATACGATTTAGCACATACACGCAAAACTTTTCGATCAGTTCTAGAGAACACAGCATAAAGGCAGCATAGGAATGCACAAAATTCTGATCTATATGTTCTAAAATAAAATTTCTCATACAAATTACAAACCTCTCAATGAATAATTTTAACAGCATATTTGCCTTCTTTGGCAAAGCACTCTTGAGTAACCTTCATACATTTCTCAATTTCTTGTTCAAAATCATATCGAAGAGTTTTTCTGCCTTAAAAAATGTGTGTAAAAATACTCGTTTTTTTTTCACGAGTAATATTAATTAATGTCAGTTGAGTCCAGTCGAGGATCTTATGAAAGCATATATTCCTAAAGCTAAAATGGTCACAACTGTGATGGTTTTGTAACTTCTAATGCGATAAGATATCCTCGGAGTCGATTGCACGACTTTTAATTTTCGTTGCCTTTCTCTCTCTTGCCGACTTGCTTCCGCCTTTGTTTTCCATTCTTGTTCCTTAATCTTTCTCTTGTGATCGTAATCTCTAACGTCGTTACTAATGGACTCGGGAGGATACTTTCGATACAAGTCCTTTGCCTCTAATAAAAGAGTTTCAAAAGGCAAGTCATCGGGCAACTGAAAAAACAATGCAAACGTCGTATAACAATTATTTCTTTTCATTTATATTACCCTCATTTGTTTTATAGTTAAAAGTTTTACACTTACTGTACACAGAACTTTGTGCGTGTGTCCCATATCAGGTGTGGTATTAAAGATTTCAGTTGCTCTATACGCGACAATTACTGTACTCAAATAGAGAGGCATCAGTGGGGGACTACCCAGAAAATAATCAAATAATCTGTGCAACAACTTTCTATTTTCTGCATATTTGTGAGCGTACCATGTTGTATACTCGGCCAGAGCAAAGTGTGGGAACAGTTCTACACTAAACAGGAATTTCGTCATTAATATATTTGTTATTAATAATATAATGTAAGGAGTAAAACAAATAATATGTGAAATGTATATTTTATATATATATATATACAGAGTGTCCCAGAATTGCCGTACAATCTCTCGTAGGCAGGTAGAAGGAGTAAAACTGAGTCGAAAAGTCCTGAACCATTTTTTTCTATTATTTATAGTAAAGGAGTAATTATTGAGTAAATCAGGCCAATCAGCGCAGAC